AGAGAGTATCAGATACAGACCAAATTTCTTCAAATTAACAACAATTAGATACAATACGGTTATAGATACGTGGACAGGTCATGCGGTTACTATTTATTACATCTGTTATAATTGAACACATTATTCTAACATACTCACATTTATCTACAGACAGAGACGATCAGTCCATGTTGATCACGTGAGTAATGTTATGTTTTTTATTTTATTCTTAACGCTAATTTGCCGTTTCAAGACCATGTTTACGTTTTTACGTTACTTTCAAATGTAATCAAGTCAATTATAATTCTATATATATAATTCAATAAAGTCGTTTACCTGGCAGCATCTCCATTTCACCTCATCCTTACGCAGTAGATTTCACCTTAGTTTGACCAGCTGAAAACATGAAGAAACTGTGAAACGTTCAATCAAAAGTTCAACCATGATCAACATTATCCTATAATATATGCCAACATCTAATTTCTACACCAATTCACATATTCAATAAGGTCAAACGGACGTATTAATTACCTTACAGGTAGAATCATCTAAATGACATGATTAAAGATTTTCTTCCACCTCTGGACATTTACGTTAAAAAACTAAAAAAATTAACAATAGTAGACTTTCCCAACTTCTACTATCTTTAAACTGCGCGTTCTCCCACTAGAGGGCTATACCATATGGATATAACCTTTCTTACATAATTAATTATACACAGGTTTCCTCACAATATGTGAAAACAGTTTCTGCTATTGCAATATTACTCTATTTTATTATTTTAGTCTCAACTTTCCACAACTGTTTGGTCAAGCACAACAGAGTTCACAACATAGCTGTTCACGAACCAAATAATAAGTAGGATGGGACAGCCGTTATACACATAATCGCCGTTATAATGGTTTATATAAGAATTAAGAGGAGACTAGTCTGCAACACTTTTGAAACAAATTAAGTACGAAAAAGTCATAGTAAATTTTAAGATGCCCGCACTACGTTGTTGTTTTTGGGAAGTAACTCTTTGGTATCCTGCCACAGGAACAAATGCATTATGCACAAAGTGTAGTATCCAGTAGACAATATTTGTACAGTGCATGGCAGCAAACCACCACGCCTACAGACATTCTCACACGTGCACGTATGCACGCACGCACGCACGCATGCACCCATGCACGCATGCATGCACGTGCGCACGCATGCGAAAACATCAACATAACTTGGTCAGTTTACACTACGATTTCACAATTGATTATCGGCTATGCGCCACTCGTCTCAGAGCTGGTCTACGAGCAGATTCGTCTTCACGGCAACACACAACCAGCGTTCTGCTAAAACTAAAACTAAAACTAGTAAACGAGCACAGTTTTGGCAACAGTTTGTGAGGCTTTGTTCACACAGGCCCTGGTAGCTGGTACCACATGTGGCCGCACCAGTCTCCGGGCCCCCACATTCATCAGTTCTTGTGCAAGTGGCGGATGCTGGTGAAGCATGGTCGAGTGTGGAGGCATTTGCTGAAACAAACGAAAAATACAGTTAGGTTGGTTTGTGGGACATGCAATGACGACTCTTGGCAGTTGGTTGCTGTATGAACGTCTATAGAACAGCAACCTACGAGGCTATGTTG